TTACACACAAAGAAGAGGAAGAAGAAGAAGAAGAGGAAGAAGAGAAAAGAAACTCATAGAGCTATATAATGTATATATTTCTAAAGATATTCAGCATTTTTAGCCGGGTCCCATATTCGTCAACGTTACCGTCAGTGTCCAATATACAAATATTCTTGGACATAATTTTGAAAAAGAAATATTCTTTGCATATATATTCTATATATAATTTCATGAGTCAAGAGATTCTCTGCGAAGAAATCCACCCACATTTCATTATTCGATCACCAAACATTGTTATTGTTAGTCATCATTGACAATCTTCGAAAATAATAGATAATAAAACTAACGCTCCGCAACAAGCAATTGTTTAGTGACAAGTCACAGGCCAAAGCTTGGACTCCCACTCCCACATAACTATTTTTTTGGGGAAGTTAGCTGCTCACCTGGACATTCTTGACCGTGTTCAGACGCAGCAGAGTTCTGAAGCTCTCTGCGTCATTCTTTATACGGTTATTCCAACCATCGTTTTGTTGGTTCTTTAATAAAAAGCAAAAAAAGAAATCGACATTTTATCGAGAAGACTCTAGAATTCGCATCAGAAAATCTTCTTGTAACTATCAGTTTTTTTATAAAAAAAAAACTGAAGTGCTAGGAGGCATCTACACGATCGGTGGAGCTGACTCACCTAGCGCCTAGGTATTTTTTTTCTAAGTGTTTTTTTATACAACGAAATGATTGGTAATGACAGATCCTTTCCTGCAAAATGTCATATCCCTTTTATTCACGAGTCACGACACAATACTTCAACTGGGGAAGAAAAGTGCAACCACCTATTCACTGAGTAGAACATGATCGCTTTTCTAGTGTCTAGCATTTTAAATAAAGAGCTGTTGGTCATATAACCTTTACAAAAAAAAAAATTGTATTGTCATTGCTTGCTATAGATCTTGAGACAGCAAACTTGGAACGAGGAAACTATATACTAGAACTCTCTACCTTACGTCTGAAGGCAAAGCTCTCTCCTTTTTGGTGCGAGAACATACATATATTGATGTTCTTTCACTGCAGGCATTCTCCCATCAGGAACTCATGACCAAAGTTCTCTATGGTTTCATGCAGATTCATTGGCCACAAGCATCAACTCTGGAAGTCACAGAATTAGGTATAGAAACTACCTACCGTGCCTAACTCAAACAGACCGTAGATCCTATCATTCTATCCAAAACGAAACACCCGAAATAATAAAGCCTTCTGCTTTGCTTCTTTTTAGAGGAGGACCAGTAGCCGCACAGCATTTCCTTTTTCTGCTCAGTGCTCATATACCTCTGCACGTACTCGGCCCCACGGGGGATGCAATGCACGCGAGTGCCGTGCGCGCGGGGCCTGCCCTCTGGGGCCCACCTGTTGCGGCGTTGTCGCTGCCTCGCTGGGACCTGTGACTAGGGATGAAAACGGATCGGATACGAACGGATATCACTCATATTATATTTGTTTTATATTTCGTTCGATCCCGGATTCGACACGGATAGCGTCGGATACATATCAATATCTGGATTGACTTCGATTCACGGATTGAATAATGAGTATCGAATACGGTATGAATCGGATTCGGAGAAGGTCGGATACAAATATCTATTCGGATATTGAGTAAAAGCAGAGTATATATATATATCATGCGATGAAAACCATTACACCACTCTATGAGTCCATAATCCATCTAGATTAAGCCGAAAGACTAAAGAGTAAAGCAACAAATAAGATAAAGATATTGATACATCATACATCAAACATCATATAAGCACTAATCTAACGCTCCGCAACAAGCATGAGTAGAAATAGCCAAGCACATTGCTTCATGGGTCTCATGGAGTCATGGTCATGGATTCAAGATCTACAATCCTTATATAGGCCATTTTTTCATTTTGAGAAAGTTTGAACAAAACGTAGTTCAAATTTCAGACGCAGCAGAGTTCGTAGTTTTAGAAAGTCATTATGAGATTTAAGAATTTGTGACTAGTGTTTGATAAAACTTTCTCAAAATGGGAAAATGAGCTATGTAACAATTTATATCTTGCTGAGATGATCAAACTTGGTATTCAGAGTTTTTCATCTGAGGTCATTTAGTGTCTCATTTGAGCAAGTTTGACCAAGTCAAATTTGGTCAAATGAAAACAACACTTTGACTCTAGTATTATGAACTCTAAATGACTTCAAATTGAAAAGTTTTGAATACCAAGTTTGTTCAACTCATCAAGATCTACAATTTTGGTTTTGGTCAACTTTCCATTTAAGATAGTTTGACGGTTCAAATTTGTGATTTTTAAATTTCAACGGTACAAACTAGTTTTCGGAACCTAGATTGTCTCAAATTGAAAAGTTTTGAATACCAAATTTGTTCATCTCATCAAGATATACAAAATATATAGGCCATTTTTCATTTGAGAAAGTTTGAATAAAATATAGTTCAAATTTCACAAGTGTGTGACATAGATCTTGAGAAAGTATATATGAGATTCAAGAATTTATGACTAGTGTTTGATAAAACTTTCTCAAATGGAAAAATGAGCTATGTAACAATTGTAGATCTTGCTGAGATGATCAAACTTGGTATTCAAATGTTTTTTCATCTGAGGTCATTCAGTGTCTCATTTGAGCAAGTTTGACCAAGTCAAATTTGGTCAAATGAAAAAAACAACACTTTGACTCTAGTATTATGAACTCTAAATGACTTCAAATTGAAAAGTTTTGAATACCAAGTTTGTTCAACTCATCAAGATCTACAATTGTTGTTTTGGTCAACTTTCCATTTGAGATAGTTTGGATGGTTCAAATTTGTGATTTTTAAATTTTGAATAAATAAAGAATAATATCCGTTTAAATATCCGGATATATCCGATACTTATCCGGATTATCCGATATCCGCCGGATATCGATGATATTACATCCGTATATGATATCCGCAAGATATCCGTTTTAGTATCCGTATCCGAAAAAAAACCGGATATCCGAGTAACTATCCGAATAAATGTTCATATTTGTTCGGTCGAACGGACGGTCGAATAAATATCCGTACCGTTTTCATCCATACCTGTGCCTGTGAGAAATATTTTTCGGAGCGCCGCTGTGGGGGACACAGGGCCACAGGCACAGCGGCGCGGCGTGAAGAGGCGGGCACAGCGTGGGTACCCGTCCGATGGCCGCACCGGGGTTCTTGCGTGGACGCGCGTACTCCGTTGGATTTGGATGGGACGGTGGTTTTGTGGTCGTACCATAAAACAACCTTGGTACTGCAATCAAACTTCGAAGTATGATGACTTCGCCGTGCTGAGTTGCTGGTTTCTCTTAGCAAAGTGCACCAGTGTCCAAAACTTCAAATGCCACCTCTTGTTGCCCAATTTTAACAACCCGTTATTTATATTACCACTACGCCTGTCAGGTCTCACGAAGATCCGACGCGCTTTATTTTTTTTGAAAGGGTTAGGTGAGATGTATTCCAATTTATATAGAAACTTTGGCTTTCACAAATTAAAGCAACATCAGAACTTTTTAATTTAATAAATTAGATCACAAGCTGTATAAAGTTAAGGTGCCTTTTTGTTGCAAAACTATACATGTAAGAAATTTCATCTCAAAGTATAAACTTAAAAGATGCCATTTGCTATAGATTTGGTTTTGTCATACTAAATCTATAGTTTTATGATAAGTTGCACATCAAGTATGTAGCTTTGCAATATAATACATGTTCACGACATACATAGTTTTGTGATATATTGACCAAAAAGTATCTTTGTAATGCAAGTTACTAAATCCGTTCCAAATTACTGTTCGTTTGACTTTTTTTACCTCAAGTTTGACCATTCGTCTTATTCAAAAATTTGTGCTAAATATCACTTATTTGGTTGTGGCTTGCTTTATTAACAAAAGAATGACTCAAATTTGACTATGTTTGCACAAATTTTTTTGAATAAGACGAGCGGTCAAACTTGGGGCCAAAAAAGTCAAACGAATTATAATTTGGAACGGAGGGAGTATTAATATGTAGATAGTTCTCTCCAATATTGCACCAGTTATAACTCTACGTGGGTTGTCAAGCTTATCGTAGGCATCCTAGGCATGAGTAATTATGAAATAAAATAGGGGTCCGAATAAAGTATAATTCCAACTATTTTAATCTAACCAACTTTTTGAGGTTTGCAAATGCAATATGTTGTACTTGACTAGAAGCATGTCAACATATTATGGTTTGACAAATACTTTTATATTGTATACACTATGTTCAATCTTGACCTTGTATATCTTCCTTTGACATTTTTTTTTTGAAAGTCAAGGGGGGGGATCCCCACCTGAATTTTATTGATCATGACTCGCCAATTGGCGTTTTAGTACAAGTTACACCATTGGATTTTTAAAAGATGGAGAAGGAGAGATTGAACGAATGAATATCTTCCTTTGACATATTGTGTGAAAAAAGTCAACATTGACTAAAAAAATGAAAAACATTTGAAAAAATAATTAGACAATCATAATTAAGTGAGTATATATAGAAAAAAAAATCGGTGAATATCGAAGATGGTACATCTGTTATTTTGCAATCAAGGGTTAATAGACAAGTTAGGACATTGAACGCAATCATTTTGCAGCGAAAATATGAGGACTTCCGACAGAGGGGGCTGTTCTGCAAATGACGGCCTCTGTCCCTGCGGACGGGCGTCAAAAGACCCTGCCCCGTCCTCGCCTCAGTCCCGTCCCGTTCCCGGCCGCGCGGTCTTTGCCAAATTCCCACGCCCCTGCCCAGCCTGCCCGAATCCTCGCGCTTTACCCTGCCCGCTCTGCCCCCCATTCACACTCTCGCTGCTCCGCTCGGCTCGTCGGGACGCGCCCCCGCCTCGCCAGCCATGCCCGCCCACGCGCTCGCCGGAGGCCGCGCGCGGCGGCTTCCCATTCCGCCGCGCTGACGAGGGGGTCTCTCAGCGGGGGCGTTTCAGGTGTTCATTTGGTTCGGGACGGGGAGTGCGGCGATGGGGAAGCAGCAGGAGGGGAAGCGGCGCCGCGGGAAAAAGGACGGGAAGCGGAAAGGGACGGGGAAGGCGGCGGCGGCGGCGGTGACGGTGCCGGAGGACGCGGCGCCAGTGACCGGGTGCTGGATCCGCTTCCCGCGCCTCCGCGGCTGCATGTCGTCGCGCGCCAAGGTCGACTCCTCCACCAGCGCGCGTGGCGGCGGCGGCGGCGGTAAGAACTGCTGTCGTATTTGCTAGTGTCCTGGTACTCGCTTGTTTGTTTAACTGGTCTCTCTTCGCGCTTCTCTCGCTTGCGCCATCGTGGGATTTCACATGCTCGCTCGCTCGCCTGTCTGTGTGCACGGGCACGGCTGCCAGGGGAAATCCGTACGGGCGCTGCAGAGGTCAGAGAGATGGTGGAAGCATGGATTGCTTTGCCTAGTATTTCTTTTTGGTTGAGTTGATGTTGATCGGACTATGGGCGGATTGCATGATTGGAATTGGATGTGCGTTGGTGTGCACTAATGCCTCGGGTGGGTGGTACAACTTAACCGTGCGACATTGAGAGCTGGACAGAGTGGGTGGTGTCGGGTGGGATTGGTATGCCCCCGGATGACATGTGGTTCATTCCGTTTTACTTTCCCGCGGTGGTAGATAAGCTGACGTTATGTCTGCTGCCTACACTGTGCTCTTGTCTGAGCTGGAGTGCCGTCATTGATGAGCATGGGTCAATAGGCGTGAGGAGCTTCGTGTTCTCTGTGCCGAGTGTTTGCTAGGTGGGAGTAATCGTTTTTGAGGGAACTGTTGGCTGTAACCTGTTGCCGGCTGGAGCAGGCTTTGCTTTTTGGGTTAAACTCTGTGCTGTAAAACTGGACCGATGGTCTTTTGATTTTAATTGAAAGGCCGGGGCTATCTGCCCTTGAACTCTAAAAAAATAGGCGTGAAGTTGCTTCAGTGCTGGGGGACTTTAAATGGTTCAAGTAGGAACAGCTTGGCTGAAATGCTGGGCGCTGGTTTGGTTGCTGCAAGATGGGTGGATATTGGCGCGAGCCGGAGAGAGGCTCAAATTGGGTTTAAATTTAACATTTGTCTTTTTCCGGTTCGTTTATTTGTAAATGTGTATAATTGCTGAATTGGTTGATTTGCAGGCACATGTTATGGTTGTAAATAAAATAGTTAGGACCCCTTTTTTGACAGGATCCAAGGATTTCTATTATGCAGTAAATATTGGTTGAGCACACTTGGAATGTGGACAAACGATTTCCTTTGAATGGAGTGTCAAGTGAATGTCGAGTGGGATACCTTAGTTTTGGTTGGGAAACCAAAATTGAAAGTGCTCTGATTGGTTCGCTATACAATATACTTTGTAGTTAGGAGTACTTAGTACTAAGCCACACCGCATAGAGCATTTATGTGATACACACTAAAATTATCAGATGTAACATTGAACGATACTCAGTGCTGATAGTTATGCATATTTCCCAACTGGACTACCGGAGGACAGTAAACTTAAAACTTGCCATGGTGTCTAGTACAGTATTGGGATGTAGAATCTGTCTCATGAATTATGCATGCGGTTGATTGGTTCCAGATTCACTATCTGTTAATGGAAAACATGGATAGTTATTTTATTAGTACTATTTACTATTTAGGGTTTGTCTGGATCTGAGGATTTGGATTCATATCCTCAAGATTTTGAGATTTGGTTTGAAAAACTAAATCCTAATTTTTTTCATAGCAACTGTGCTCTAATCAGCGTTTTCATGTTTGAATCATCCTTAAGTGTTTATCACCTAACAGATAATATATCTACATGTGTAGAAACCAAACCAGCAACTGATGATGCTTGCCAGGACCAATCAATCCCACCAGCCTCTGGTTCCACAACAACCAGTAACACTGGAAGTATCTCACCTTCTTCCATAGTTGGAGAGGAGCTAAAACTAGCTTTCCAACTGCGTAGATTTACTTTTAGCAAACTGAAGTGTGCCACGAGAAACTTCCGACCTGAGAGTCTTCTTGGTGAGGGAGGTTTTGGCTGTGTCTTTAAAGGATGGATTGAGGAGAATGGAACTGCTCCTGTTAAGGCAGGCACTGGATTAACTGTTGCTGTCAAGACACTTAACCATGATGGGTTGCAGGGGCATAAAGAGTGGGTGGTACGTTTTTGTCTTTCTTTGGTATTACTTAGTTGAAGAGAGTATTATTCAGCTTTCTGCTAATGCGTCACTAAGCAAAGTATCATTGTTTGTCTGCAGGCAGAAGTTGATTTTCTTGGAAACCTTCAGCATCCACATCTAGTGAAATTGGTTGGCTACTGCATTGAAGATGACCAAAGGTTGCTTGTGTACGAATTTATGCCCCGTGGAAGTTTGGAGAATCATCTTTTTAGAAGCAAGTATCTTTTAATCTTACCTTTATTAGTTTTATGTAACATATATGCTATTGCTATCTTTTTTCCCTTTCTATCGGTTAATCCATGTTAGCGTTTCTGTTCTTGTGATGATAGATAGTGTGATATTCTAACACATGTGGTACAGTCACTTCTATTTTGGTCATCACATGTGCACGAGCACTTTGGTTTTGGCTAACACAAGTGGTATGGACACCTTAACTGACCAGGGGATTGTTTGTCACAAAGTTTCCCAATGTGCGAGGGAAATTTTTTTTGGCCAACAGAATACATTTACTAACATCTTGATCTGGTACTTCGGTATATAGGAATTCATGAGGAAATGATTAAGGTGTTATGTTGATTCTCGCCTAGTTGTTTGATTTAAGCTTTAATCATTAATATGGGCTGTAGGTGGTTTTACATGTTTCCGTTTTTACTTTTTCTCTTGTTAGAGTGTTACTATTTTTCTTAATCAAATGATTTGAGTGCTATTTATTGGGTTTCGACTTTCTAATAGTTCTGTTACTGAGATTTTTTTTTGCTGGTATTGCTGAGAGGATTTTATGTGCCAAATTTGACCAGTGTTAAGTTGTTTTGTCATAATTTCATCTTGAACTTTCACATACCCATCTAATAACAATTTTTTTGTATAATTTTGTATCAAATAGAGTCATTGCCTCTCCCATGGGCCATTAGAATGAAAATTGCTCTTGGTGCTGCCAAAGGCCTTGCTTTTCTTCATGAAGAAGCTGAAAGACCAGTAATATATCGGGACTTCAAAACATCCAATATTCTTTTAGATGCGGTAAGCAACTATATTGAAATGTTAACTCTATCCGTGCATACAATTGTATTTGCTAACATATTCTTTCAGGACTATAACGCAAAACTCTCTGATTTTGGACTTGCTAAAGATGGCCCTGAGGGTGATAAAACGCATGTGTCAACTAGGGTCATGGGAACATATGGATATGCTGCGCCTGAATATGTAATGACAGGTGAGTTGATAAATTATGATATTGCTTAATCTATGTTCATATTTGTGGTGGATATTTCATGTGGTTGTTTATTAGGTGTTCTGTAAACATGTCAGCCAGCCCTATATATTTTGTCAAAATAATGTGCAAAAATGCTGTAAACTTCAATGCATTCTAAGGTCTGGAGTTGTGTGTGTAGCACACAACACAGACATGGACATGTGTGCACACACAACTTCAGAAAACCTAAATACTCACATGTGTGCGCTCACATGGCAGACAGAAGTTGTGTATGGCACACATGCAACGTGTTTGTTGTAGGTTGAGGTTGTGTGTCTCTGTATGTATGTGTTGTAAGCTTGCTTGCATTCTAGTACACCGAACTTGTGTATGTGACACACAGAAACTTTGTGTGTGACACACATGCACATACGATAGGGGTAAAACTAAAGTTGTGCTCGACACACATAAAACCTGTGTTGTAGGTTGAGGTTGTGTGTCTGTGTATGCATGTGTTGTAAGCTTGCTTGCATTCTAGTACACTGAACTTGTGTATGTGACACGCAGAAACTTTGTGTGACACATGCACAAACGATTTGGAGTAAACTGAAGTTTCTTTTTCTTTTTTAGGTGCTAGGTAGGCTAAATACTACTCCCTCCGTTCCAATTTATAGGTTGTTTTGGCATTTTTAGATACACAACTTTTATTATGTATCTAGACACATTGTATATCTAGGTGCATTGCAAAATCTATGTACCTAAAAAAGCTAAAACGACCCATAATTTGAGACAGGGTGGTACTACTAGAGATGATAAATTTCTGTGTTTCCTACTGCTTATAAGTTCCTTTCTCGTCCAGGTCACCTGACATCAAAGAGTGATGTATATAGCTTTGGTGTGGTACTACTAGAGATGATGACTGGTAGAAGGTCAATGGACAAGAACAGGCCAAATGGAGAACACAACCTGGTTGAATGGGCACGCCCTTATCTGGGAGAAAGACGCAGATTCTATAAGCTTGTAGATCCACGTCTGGATGGGAACTTCTCCATAAAAGGTGCTCAGAAGACTGCTCAGCTGGCCCATGCCTGCCTCAGCCGTGACCCCAAGGCTAGGCCTCTGATGAGCCAAGTGGTGGAGGTTCTGAAGCCTCTCCAGAATCTCAAGGACATGGCCAGCTCTTCCTACTTCTTCCAGTCCATGCAACATGAGCGGCGCACAGCCCTTGCCAACCCACATGGCAGTCAAAGCATGAAAGCGCAGAGCACCTTTGCGCGGAACGGGCAGCAGTCCATGAGGAGCCTCTCGTATGGCCCTCATGCTTCCCCGTATCGCCAGTCGCCAAGGCTTGACAGCAAGCGGCAATGAGTCATGGTGCTTGTCTGTCGACCATAATATATTTCAAGACTGGAGTTGTAACCAGAACTGGTGTTTGAACTCAGCCATCCAGCACCTCTGTATTGTGGATGAAGCAGCAACAATGATTCGAATTTTCCATATCATCTGTGGGTGTGAATTTTTTTTCTTGTTATCGCTTAGATTTTAGCTGTCCTATCTTTATAGCTCTAGATACCTTGCCTTGAAAGGTGGGACTAAACAGGGTTTTGATCTGTCTTTGAAACAATTCTCAGGCACCAGATGCTTGGGAATGTTCCATCCTGGAAACCATCAGTAGGTAAGTCTGATAAGTCTGTTTTGCGACTCTCTGATCTGCTATTTAAACTGTCGGTTGCTTTGTAATTAATTGTCATGTGGAGAGAAGCAAAAAGGAGCAATGGATGAAAGATCATCGGTGTCGACATCATCGTTCCATAATGCATGTTTGATGGCAGTAGCTCATCTGCTCACGCTCAGTTTAAGGCCCTTGCATGTGCCATTGATGTTGTGACAGCTCTCGCTTTGAGGTGGTGGTACAGATCTGCCAGATCATAATCATGCTTGCTTATGGCTGCCATTACTTCTGGCATTTACGGTTCTTTCGACTTCGATTGATGCTGCTGGTGTTATGCGCTGCGGTCATGGTCACTTGGGCTGTTGGTCAGGGGCTGGCAGCCTGGCTGTGGCGGCAACATGGTAATCAACTGATTGTGGATGCTGAGAAATGCGTGGTCAATCTTTCGTCTGGTACAGTATGCTCAGGTGGCGGTTGTGTATAATGTGCAGTCTAGTACTAGTATCTCAGGTTGTTGCTAATCTGGTTCTTTTCTTGGGTAAAGCCGTCAGAGCCAGGTTCTATATATCATCGTGTTCTAGTCACATTATATCTAGAGTCTTTATCTATATATTCTATATTTACACCTGAGAGTAACTTAAAGAGACTCTCTATGTCCTTCCTAATAGCTATGAATAGAAATTTTGATAGGAAAAAAAACTCTCCAACAACTTCTTTAATTAATTATCTATAAATCTAAATAAATATAGTCATCCTCTATTCTAAATTTCTTGCTAGCAAAACATAAAGAGCGAGAATGGCTTTCTAAAGTGTGTAAAAGATATAGAAAAACTGTTGGAGTGTGAAAAAATATAGAAAACGATTTTTTATGCAAATGAGTCTCGAAATGATGATTTAGAGAGTGTATTTTAGAAAACTCTTGGAGATGCTCTAATAATAATATTAAAATTGAGATGTTTCCTCCAACCTCTTCTCTTTTTTTTATTCTACTAGCATATATCTAGTATAATAAAAAATTATATACACGGTGTAAGCAACGCCTGGCAGTTTTTTTAAAGTAAAGCTGGTAGGAGTTTTGCCAAGATTATATACTAATAAATGAGGCGAGTTCAGCCTATAATAAATCCCAAAAAGAGAGAAACATGAACAAAAAAGAAACTAACGCCTAGCAAAACCTGAGTAGAGCTGTACTCACACGACACAGTCTATCTATTATATAGCTACATACATACATTTGTAAGACTAGCACGGTTAGCGCCCACGACTTGAAAGGGTTTACATAAGTCAACTTTGGGCGCCCATTTGTCTGATGAGTTTCTGCAGCCCAAATTTGCCACCAAACCGATTCAGCAGATCCTGAGGGATGACATTGGCTATGTGATTTATGTCGTTGGGTCTCTTGACGTTTGGCAACTTGGTCATCATTTTGGCCATTCGCTTGTGCTCCTCCAGCATGTCCACCACTTCCCTGACGGGCCTGCCGGAGCCCCGAGCGACTCGGTTGATCCGTGACTGGTTCATCAGCTTCGGGCTGCTGCTCCCGTCAAGCTCAGCATCAGTCATGGAGTCCATCATGGTCATGTACCTCTTCATCTTCGCTTGCCCTTCCTTGTCATTGAACTTGTCGCTAATGAGTCCACCAGGTATCATAGAGACGAGCTGCCCAAGAGGGCCCATACTCTGCACTGCCCGGAACAGCTTGCGCAGATCTCTGAGCGTGAAGTTTCCCCTTTTTATCAGCTCCTCCAGAATCTGATACGGTGATGTGTTGTCATCAGCAGGACCAGGAATTACATCATGGATCTTGTCCATGAAGCCAGACAGGTCTCCCAAGCCTAGCAGACGGCTCACGAAGGACTTGGCGTCGAAGGCCTCCAGGTCTGGAATATGCTCTCCGGTCCCGACGAAGATCACAGGGCTTTTCGTGGCCGCGACGGCGCTGAGCGCGCCGCCGCCCTTGGCGTGGCCATCCATCTTGGTGACGATCACGGCGCCGACCGGGGCGCTCTGCCTGAACGCCTGCGCCTGCTCGAACGCGGCCTGGCCGATGCTGGCGTCCATCACCAACACCACCAGGTCCGGCCTCGTGGCGCCCACGACCTGCCGCATCTCCTCCAGGAGCGCGGCCTCCTGCCTGTGGCGCCCGCTCGTGTCCACCACGATGAGGTCGCACCCCTCCTGGTTCCTGAACCTGTCCACGCCCTCCACGGCCACCTTCACGGGGTCCGACTCGGTGTGGCTCCCGTAGAACGGGATGCCGGCTTTCGCCGCGCTCTGTTTCAGCTGGTCCAAGGCGCCCGCGCGGAACGTGTCGGCGCAGACCAGCGCCGGGCTGAACCCCTTCGTCCGGCGGTGGTAGTCCGCGTACTTGACGCAGGTGGTGGTCTTCCCGGAGCCCTGCAGGCCGACGAACATCACCACGCTGGCCGGCTTCCTCCCTTTGCTCGGGGTGAAGGACGGCTTCCCGGGGTCCAGCATCCGGCGCAGCTCGGCCACGACGGCCCGATGGATGACGCGGCGCTTGTTGGTGCCGTCCGCGAGCGCCTGCAGGTTGACGGTGCTCTTGATGCTGGCCTGCACGCCGCGGACCGTCTCGAAGCGGACGTCGGCCTGCAGGAGCGCGCGCGAGATCTCGTTTACGCAGTCGTTGAGCACCTTCTCGTCCACCACCATTGCCTTCGACATCCGCGCTAGCGCGCCTTTGATGCTCCCGCTTAGCTGCGACATCACCATCTCGTCGGCTGGGGTTGGGCGACGGGCGTGCGGCGGATCGAGCCTCCAACTTTCAGGTGGGTTTTCAGGCGGCGGTGCGCTTACGTATTTGTTTACCACCTGAAAAACTAATCGGAATCGATTCTGTACCGACTTGGCCGTGGGGTTATGTTTATCGACAGCTGTACCGACTTGCCGCGCGCGTCCTGCCGGTCCCCAGCCAATCCAATGTCCGAATACCTGGGAAGAGACGGGCACATAATTAAAAAAAAGGAAACGGACTTGAAAAGAAAAACAACGGAAAAAAATACAGAGAAAAACAGAACAAAACTTATATATACAAAATAAACGCAAAAAATATATATAAAAAAGAAAACCATGAAACCCTTCAGGGTTTAACATTATATAGTAAGATTCGTCTAATCTCTACTTTTATCTTTTTTTTTATTTGGATTAGTAAATATGTCCGTGTGTTGCAACGGAAAACAAGTTATCAAATATTCATATAAAACAAGGACGAGAGAATGTTACGTATCTATTTATGTTTTACTTTTTCTACAAAATTTTAAAATTATATTTTATTTTATGATGATCATGACATCCATAATATAAGTTTACGTTGGCAATAATATGATAATGTCTATATCGAATTAAAAAACATCATCGATAGTGTATCGCAGTTCGCTAGCTTAATGCTATTATGGTTGGTTGTCAACAATGGAACCCCCCCCCCCCCGGCAGCCTCGCCGTCCGGTTCACAGGGTCAAAGCGCTGGATCGTTCCACGGCTGCTCGACACGAACCTGTGGGGCCTGAGGCAGCTCCTCATCGCCGAGGTGCCGTCACGTGGCTGCGGTTGCTCCTGCAGGCCGCACTGTCGCTGGAGGTCCTGCACATCCACGTAGCCCATCACCCGGTTACAGCACCGCCACCTGGGCGCGAGATAAGTTGGCAGTGGCAGCGATCGACGTTCCAGCACCGTCATCTCAAGGAGCTTGTGCTTGCCGGGTTCGAGCGGATGCTACGGCAGATTTCCTTGGTGAGATACCTGGCCTGGCCAGGGTGTGCAAGTCGCTGAAGCGTGTGGCTCTTCTCAAGGACTGGTGCGTGCGAGAGATGGGGCTCTAGGACGGGGAGGTGACGGACATTTCAGTTACAACGTCATCTTCTCCTTTCTTCCCCCGAGCGCTCCCCTAGGGCGACTCAGGGGCGACCGCCGCGGCGCCCCTAGGGCCCCCCCTCCTGGTCCTCCCCTCCGGCCGCCGTCGTCGCCCATCGGCGTGTGGCGGCGGCGGCCCGCGGTGGCCCGAAAAAAGGTGCCCGCCGCATCCTCCCCTCCCTCCACCTCTCTCTCCCCCTCCCAATCCTCCACCACCATGACTTCCCCGGTGCTTCTTCGGCGGGCTCACCGGCCGGCGGCCCGGATCCGGGTTCCTCTGGACCGGATCTGGCCTCCTCCTCGTCGGTGCGACGGCGAGGGCTGGGCGGTCGGGCCTGAGCGGCGGCTTCTCCGACGAGTTGGTGCGGCCGGCCAGGCGGCGGATCTAGGCCCCCCGTGTGCGGATCCGGCGCCGGCTGCTCCAGTAGCACGGATCTGGCGCCTGCTGCTGCCATCCAGCGGGGTGCTCGGCATGGGCGGCCTCCGGGGCCTCTTGTTCCACGCCGGGCCCATGTAGCCGCTACTATGGGGCACCGGTGGACGCGGCCGTCGCCAGGGCCACGCTCGACAGGCGGCCAGTTCCGGGGTCGCCACTGACCTGGCATGCTGGCGTCTGCGCCACGGGGGCCACCGGTCACGGGGCCGGCGACCGTCGTCAGGTGACGTGCTGTCACCAGATCCAGCTGCCATTGCTCGCCCTGAGCCCGGATCCGCGCAGTGCCGGCGTCTACGCCGCGGCTGTCACCGGCCACGGGGCCGAACTCGCGTGGGGGTCTGGTCTACCGGCCATGGCTCTGGCCCGGTCGGTCCATCTCATCCGCGGAGCCACGTGGATGGTCGGCGCACTGGGGGCTGGTGCAGCGGGGCTCATGGGACTCATGGTGAAGCGACGGTAGTTGCACGGGTTCTGGGCGAAGGCTTAGCCCGATTTTATCCGAGCGGACGACGGTGACGCCTTGGGCGCCACATACCTCCTTGGAGGCGTCGCTTCTGAACCTCGTGCTTCTGCGCCAACATCATCAGATTTTGGGCAAAAGCCCCGCCTTAGAACCCTCTAAGGCCAGCGACGATGGCATCTAGGATCGTTCCCTTGGGTGCCACCTCCTTCCTGAAGGCGCCGCTGAAGAATCCCGTGTGGTCGTCGTCTTTTGTGGTTCCTGCCGTTCGCTCTTGGAGGAGTTCCTCGCTGTGCCTGTGTGTGCCTTCATTCTACTCGCTTGGGTCTGTCTTGCAGCTCTTGACCTTGCCGTCGTTGTCTTGCTTATCTGACGGATGCTTTGTCGTCATTGTCGTTGGTCTCCTCTCGGGCATTTGGTGCCGAGAGTGTCATGGCCGCTCCCCTCTGCGGATTCTTTGTCGTAGGGGGTCGCTTCTTCCCTGACGGATGCTTGGCCGTCGACGGAATTCTTGGCGGATGCTTTGCCGCCGTTGGCTCTTGGGTCCCCTCTCTGGTAGATGCTTTGTTGCCGAGAGCGTGTGGACCCTCTTCTTGGTGGATGCTTGGCCGCCATGGTCGCTTGGTCTTCGTTGGCGGATGCTTTGCCGCTGTTGCTGCTGGATGCTCCTATGTCTTATTAGGGTGAATGCTTTGCCACCACGGCTTTGTCTATCTTTAGGCAACCCTTGCGTGTTATTTTTATTGCAGGCTTAGTTGTAGGTCTTTGGTGTTGAGGGCAGTCGCTATTCTTTCTTCTCTTCTCTTGTTCCTATGTTTATTCCTTTGTGTTATCTCCAAGACGTGTACGGCTCCTCGCCGTGACACTCTTCGGAGGTTGTAAACTTTTCCACTTTTCTTAATGAAGCACGTGCTAATGCACGTTTTCGGAAAAAAAGGACTGGGAGGTTGTGCCGCCGGAGCTGGAGTGCCCATGGAGCAAGGTTGACAAGATGGTGGTGAGGAGGCAGGTCAAGTATGGGAGTGACCGTCCCAAGGTGCATCATAGGGTGTACGTAATTGGTTGGCTGTTAGCACTAATCCATCACAGGCTGAGGAACCAGGGACTTCGAAATAGACCCCCCCCTCGCTCTCGACGGCACAGCGTCTGGGTCGCTGGCCCAAACTGGACCATCACCGATGTACTAATTGAGAGGAGTGGTTTCTCAAAAAAAAAACTAATTGAGAGGAGTGAGGAGGAGAGAAGACAAGTATTGAAAAAACTCTAAATTCGTTCCAAGAATTCTGTCCTCAGTCCTCATTCTTTGCTTCTTCCTTCTTTTTTCTGTATTTCTGCGGTGCTGCCGGTTCAAGCCACTTCACCACAGCCGTTGTGCCTGTGTGCGGCTATGCCGTGGAACCACGTTTGTGCTGCCAGCAGCATAATAGAATGAACTCGTTGCAACGTACGAACATATTTACTAATATTTTTCTATATATAAGAAAAAAGGAGATAATTTGGAAAAAGAAAAAACGGAAAAAAGGGCCAAGAACGACGGGCCGGTGGATATAGAAAAAAGAACTCACGATGTAAATAAAAACGGATGAAGCTAAAAAAAAAGAAAAACAGACAGGAGAAAATAGTAATACATAGTAATATTGTTGCCAAAGAAAATTTGTTTGTTTGGTCTCCACTTCCGAGTAGGTAAGAGCAGTGCTTTGGATACGTTTTCCAGGATGAACTATATATTCTTTGAAAAATAGTAATACATAGTATATTAAAGTACTGTTTCAGTGGTCCTTCACTCTTTCCCATACCCATACAAGTTAGAGCAGCGTATTCAGACATGGTTGAGTGTTCGATACTAGAACGAATTAGAACATCTGACATGATTATTGAACAAAATCTACAAGCCTTTCATTCATATACGAGTTAGAGTAGCGCATGTCCGATTTCGATTTCAAGATGAATGCAGGATGTGTGAGCATCGAATATATAAATCTCTAAGCCGACTTCATGTTGCAACGCACTGATACGTTTTCTAAATATCAAATCCGCGGGGTTGTCTAGGTGACCATGCAACAATATGTGCATTCCGTTTAGCGCACGTACATGTTGCTAGTATTACTAATGATATATCTCTAACAGAGTCTGCGCATTAATCCTCATGAGACATATACTAAAAAAGATGAATCTTAGAACATCTGACATTTCGTTTGGTAGATTTTAATTATAATAGTAACAATAACCATTGGATTTGTTGTTTTCTAAAAAAACCACATACTCCTTATGTACCAAAATACTCCCTCTACCCCAAAAAAATTGATGCTCTAGGATTCAAATATGTGTCAGAAAATTTCTTGTTTAGCTGTTGGAAAATAGATTTGGATTAGATTGTAGTCTGCATGTCTTCATGCATTTCTTTTAATGAGGAGGTTATCCTTAATTAGTATTGTTTACCTTCAAGAAATACATGAATAATTTCCGTTGACTACTAATTTATTCTAAAAAAATCTTGAAAACATCATTTTTTTAGGATGGAGGGAGTAATTGATGCTTTAGTTATGAATTTGGACAAATGTGTATCTAGATTCATAGCTGAAGTGTCAACTATTTTGAGACGAAGGGAGTATGCTATATGAAAAATATATAAACTAGCCTACTAAACTTGTATTTAAATTACCCTCCACTGATACCATGAATGGTAAGTAAAAAACCCTCTAATTTTCATTTAAATTATCTGTCACTACCATTTGAAGGATAATACAAAACAAGATTCACATTTAAAAAGTTTCATATTTAAATTACCACCGTTTGTCACTATGAAAAATAATGTAGAGTAACCTCTTTAATTTGTATCTCATCTCTGCTATTATGAAAATTAAATTAAAATATCGCTTAAATATATTTCTAAATACTAATATCACGATGCTACGCCAGATCCCCTCCAAGACTTATCATTTTCTACATACTAATATCGTTGAGTTG